GGATCCCTAATTTGTTCTTTTATAGCCACACTCATTTCCCTCCTATTTGTTCATCTCCTGGTAATCCTTTCAGCCACTACAATATTCTTCATTTCTATAATTTTGTCATTAAAAGAATGTTATGTAAGTGGAATCATGCAATATGTAGTTATTTGAGATCAACTTTTTTTACTCAGTCTCTAGGAATTCCTCGAGGTTGTTTCATGTATTGTTGGTTTGTTCTCTTTTATTACTGAGTAGTAGTTATTCCATGTTATGGATTCATCACAGTTTGTTAAATCACCCACCTATTGAACAGCATCTGGGTTGTTTTCAGTTGTTGACTATTATGAATAAAGCTACTATAAACATTTGTCTATAAATAAATAAATAATGAAGTTGTAATTCCTGGTTATATAATAGTTGCTTGCTTAGTTTTTCAAGAAACTGCTAAACTGTTCTGCAGAATGGTTTTATCATTTCATATTTCTTCCAGCAATAAATGAGTGATCTGCTTTCTCTGAATTCTTGCCATGTTTGGTGTTATCACTGTCGTTTTTAGCCATTCTGATGTTTATATAGTTATAGTTCATTATAGTTTTAGTTAAGATTTCCCTCATGGCTAATGTGATTATTTATATTCTGTTCTGTGAAATGCCTGTCTAAATCCTGTTCTAATTGGATTGCATTTTTATGTTGTGTTTTAAGATTTATTTATGTGTTTTAGATACTAGTCTTTCTTATATATGTGAGTTCTACTTTCTCCTTTTCTGTAGCTTATGTGTTATGCTCCTAATAGGTCTTTTCCAAAGAAAAAGTCTCAATTTTGACACAGTGCAATTTATCAAATTTTTCTTTTATGAATTGTGCTTTTAATATCAACCCTAAAAACTGTTGGTCTAGCCTTAGAGCCTTAATATTTTCTCTAATTTTTCCTAAAAGTTTTATATTTCACATTAATGTCTATGATCTATTTTGAATTAATTTTTGCTCAAAATTTGACACTGTTTTTCTTTTTTATGCATATCTTCTTGATCCAGCACCATTTGTTGAAAAGCCTTTCTTTCATCCATAGAATTCATTACCTTTGCACTATTGTCAAAAGTTAGTTGGATGTATTTGGATGAACTTGTAGTTCTGTGTTCTGTTCCATTCATCTCTTTATCTCTTTGCCTATGTCACAGTTAGAGACTATAGCTACATAATATCTTAACATCAAATGGACCTATTCCTTCTACTTTGTTCTCCTTAAAAACTTTTAAACTATTTTAATGCCTTTGTTTTTCTACACAAATTGTAGACTATCTTGTCTCTGTCTACAAATATCTTTCTGGGATTGTGATTGGAATTGTGTTGGATCTGCATTTCATATTGGGAAGAATTAACATCTTTATTGTGGTGAGTCTCCCAATCCCTGAATATGGCATGTGCTGTAGTTTGAATCTTGAATATCTCCAAAGCCTCATGTTTGAAGGCTTGGTCCCCAGACCATGGTGCTGTTTGGAAGTTGAGGACTGTTAGTAGGTGGGGCCAAGTGGGAGTAAATTAGGTCACTGGGGGCATGCCCTTGAGGGGAATATTGGGACCCCAGTTCCTTCTGCTTCCTGGCTGCCATGAGGTGAGCAGCGTCTTCTGTCATGTGTTCCCATTTTACCACAGGCCCCAAAGCAATAGAGCCAATCTATAATGGGCTGAAATCTCTTGAAACCATGAGCCAAAATAAACCTTTCTCCTAGTAAGTTATTTATTTCAGATTTTTTGTCACAGTGATTGAAACCTAACAGCATGGTTATATCTTTTTTGATTACTTTCATCAGCAACTGTGTTGTTTTCAGCATACAAATTCTCTAAATGTGTTGTGGATTTAAACCTAAGTCTTTTATGTTTTTGAGGAGTTAGAAATGCCATTATTGTTTTAATTTTGATATCCATGTGCTCATTGCTCTTATTTCTTATGAGAAATACAATTGATTTTGTATCCTATGATCTTGCTGAACTGTCTTACATTTTTATGTAGACAAGTAGTTTATCTGTAAATAGGAACAGTTTTATTTCTTCCTTTGCAGGAATGGAGAAAGGTTTTCTTTTTTTTTTTTTTCCTGTAATGACTTGAATGTATAACAGTCTCAGATTCTTCCCATTGTTCAGTCTAAAATGAAAGAGACATTATAGTCTAAATCCTGAAGATGCTAGGAATTGATGAGATGGCCTAAAATGAGGGAAGAATTAAGAATGGCACTGACATTTTTTTCCTAATTAAGTGGATATGATGCTGTCTACTTGACAGCACTGACAAGAATGGCACTGACATTTTTTTCCTAATTAAGTGGATATGATGCTGTCTACTTGAAGTAGAGCCCTCAAAAGTATAAGAATATTTGGGAAATATAATGAGTTCTGTTTTGGAACTGTTGATATTTTTGGTGCCCATGGAACCCAGTGCCCACTTGACATTTGAAGTGTTGCTTAGAATTGGGGGACAGGTTAGGAATATAATCGGACTTCTTACATTCCGATGATAGATGGTGTGGTAGGACAGAGCACATGTACACTAAGTAGAGATCAGAAGAGAAACTGCTAAAAAGGAATAGCATTTACAAATAGAGGAGAATGAAAAGAATATACTGTTACAGAATATTTTACAGAATTTGCTGTCCAAATCCTGCCAAGTCAAGTGTAGTGGCTCAAGCTTATAATCTTTGCTACTCTGGAGGCAGAGATAAGGAGGATCCTGGTTCAAGGCCAGCCAGGGCAAAAAAGTTTGTGACACCTGCATCTCAGCAAATAAAAACTGGGTGTGGTGGCACTTGCCTGTCATCCCAGCTATGTGGGACAAATAATAGGAGGATTTGAGGTCCAGCACTGCAGCCAGGGAAAAATTCTGTCTGTTGAGATCCATCTTAGATGGTTAAATCTTCCTGATGCTATCACCTGCCCTTTCCCATATCCCTTTGGTGGTTCCCTTATGTATGTTTCTTTTTTTTCCCCCCACTTTTATTGGAGTGTATTTGTTGTACAGGGGGGATTCATTGTGACAGTTCTGAATAGCCTTGTATTGTTCATTGGTTAGATTGCTTCCACCATCTTCCCCCTGCACACCCCTCCTCACCCCACCTAAAGCAATTGCAAGAGGTTTCATGCTTATATTTCCTATATGTATATAAAGCCATCAACCATATTCCCTCACCATCATCTCCTATGTTCACCCTCACTTCTCCCACAAGTACTATCCCACCCCACTGTACTTATTTTACAGTCTTTTATAGTCTTGTTTCATTATTAATTCCAAAGTCAATGTCAAAGGGGTCTCTCAGTGTATTTCTGCTGTGAGTCTACTGTACTTTGGTCAATTCAGCTCCCTCTGTTACTCTCCCTTATTCCTCCCCCCCCCCCCCCCCCCCCCCCGCAGTTATTCAGTAGCTTTCAGTACATACTCTGTGTGTTTCTGTAGCATTTTTTTCTTCCTTTAGTTTGGCACTTACTACACTGCCATGTTATAGTTTATTATTTGTGTATTTTTCTCCTTGTCAAGATTTTTATGTTCTTTGAAGGTAAGGGTTAGGTCTTATTCATCATTTTTTCCATCCTGTATATGGCAGTTGAATTGAAGCAGGAGATGGTCAGATTCAGAGGCTTCAAGGGGGTGGAATTTGAAGAATTTAGAAGAGACCATTAGATTTGTTGATTACCGACCTTAGGGAAAGTGTTCTTTCTATAAAGACAGGGAATGAATCGAGAGTTTTTTAGTCTTCCTGCTTCCTAGTCAATTTTGTCTTTTCTTATACCTCCTCCTTCATTCCCTAATTATGTTGTTCTAGCCTCTGTTCCTTTAATACAGTGTTTGGTCATGCTGGAACAATATTCCTTCCCATGACCTGAGAGAATTCTGTTCTTCCAAATCCAGTCCATTTCCCTTCTTCCACAAGATTTCTGCTCATATATTAAACTCACTTTGCTAAACTTCCATGGCATCTTGTATTAGATTACTAAGACTTAATCATTCTTCATTATCTACATCCATAACTTGAGTATATTGTGACTTATTTTCTGTTTTATTTCCCATAATGTGCTCTGTAAGTAGATTTATGACTTGATTTTATGTGTGTGTGTGGTGGGGGGTTACTGGGGTTTGTGTTTGTTAGGCAGGTGCTCTACCACTTGAGGTGCTCTCCAAGTCCATGTCCTCTATTTTAAAAATATATTATTATTATTTTTTATATATTCAAAGTTCTAAAAAAAAAAGGAAAAAAAAAAACCAAAAAGGTTTTCAGTCTAAATTTAAAAGTTTGGTCGTGAAAACTGATAGTTTTTTTTTTTTTAAATAAAAGATGCATCCTCTCTCTAGGAACTTGTTCCTCTTTCTGTATTCTAGCAGCACATGGTGCTTACCTCAATAATGGCTTCTCAGATCTTTTTTTGATGGGCCCCAGGAAGACAGAAATCACTATTTCTGTTACTTTTTACATTCCTAGCATGTTGTTTCCCTCACAGTCATCATGTCTGAATACTGAATGATCTTTTTTCCTGGTTTCTGTCACTGGGGTTCTCTAATAGTGGTAGGTTGATAAAACCTGCAATGTAGTAGATTTGTTATAGCATCTGATCTTTATTTGAAATGCAATTCATTTTTTCCATTTAAAAGTACGTTTCATGTTTAGTTTAAAGCTATTTTTAAGTCATTAAAAATATTTACCTCAGTATGTAGAGCGTAATGCAACCCATGTTGTAATGTCTTGATGTATTTTTTACTCTGAATAAATTTAAGCATCTTCTTTGCAGTTTGGAAAGTTGTATTTTTAGAGAATAGGAGCCAGTAGCAGCCAAAGTTTTTACTTTAATAGGTTTGTGTGTGTGTGTTTGTGTATGTTGTTGGTGTTAGAACTCAGGCCTTGTGCCTTGGCAGGCATTTTACCTCTGAGCTGTACCACCAGCTCTACTTTTTATTCAATAACTTCCATGTAAGAGCTAATTTAAGTGGGAACAATTGGTTGGATTAAACAAAAAAGCCTTTCTCTTTCCAGATTGCAGCAATTCTCCGAAAACGAAAATTAGACTATTATTTATACAAGCTACTCCCAGAGATCCTGCAATCTGCTTCATTCCTGACTGCTAACGGGGCCTTATATATTGTTTGGTTTTGCACTTTAAGGTTGGTACTTGTAATCACCATTAGATGTTAATACACTTTTATCTGTTGAAATGTAAACAAGTGGTTGTTTACATAGGTATGGTTTAGGTCATTGTCTCTATTTCGGTTTTTTGAATCCATAAAGTGATATTTATCTCAGAGAAAGTTAATAAAATCAGGAGCTTTGCGGTTCTTGGTTTCAAGATGTAATATAGAGTTCAAATTATTGGTATGATTGTATAGCAAAAATGCTTTAATATGTCATACATTTTCTGAGGCCTGGTATATTTTTGAAGTTGGTGATCAGGATTTCTTAGCTTTTCAATTTCCTAGATCAGGACTTTAAAGCAACTGTGTATGACATAAGTTTGGTCTACATGCAGCAAGTAAACTTCAAAAGAACTATAAAATACACGTTTATGTATAAAACAATGAATTAAATCCTAGTTTATAGAACTGTTGGAACATTTGGTCCTGATCCAATCTTGCATACATTACCTGTGGTACATACTTTACCCATTCTTGATGCAGGTAGACGTTCAGTCTTTTGAGTGCTGCTACAAAACTAACATATTTACTAGATATTTTTGATCTCTTTTACTGATTGGTGAAAATAAACTGTCCTTATGTCTGTTGAGTTAAAATATTCACTTCTCATTATCCTTATACTTGTGTTGCTCAAAGTAGTTTTATATATTTTAACTGCAGTTATATATATAATTTCAAAATGTCTTTTGCAGATTTTCCCCCAGAGCTTGACTATTTATAAACTTTTTGATAATGCAGAAAACATCTGATAAAGCTTTTATACTGTTGAGAAAAAAAATCATGTTTAAGTTAATCTGTGTAATGAACTTTCTTCATCAAATGGTCTCTGGAAAGTTTTAAAGACTTGTTAAAACTCTAAAAGTAAGGTTACAAATAATAATTCTTTAAAAATTGCACTAAGTGCACATTGCTATTGCGGCACATTTTGTCATGTTCTGTGACCTGTTTGGCTAGGTTGTGGAATGTTAACATTAAGATAACACCCATGTTCTTTCTGTAAATAATTCAATGAATAAAATTTCATTTAATTTTTATATTCAATAGCTTGTTAAGTCCTTTTTGGATTTTATGTTGGAGGGAAAACTACCTCCAGTCTTCCCAGGCAGAAAGTTTCTGATCTCTATTTCAGAAACACCCAAGTGTCACATTAGTTACTCTAATCTTTTAAAATCTGAACTTTAATTAAAAAGATCATTTCATCTCTGATACTTGATCCTTGCCTGTATGTGCACATACACACATATTACATACGTACGTATTACATTAGGAACTGACAAACTTTGTAAAGATAAATTCTTAAATTTTTACGTTGTTTCTCCCTTTGTTAGGAACAAAGTGTTTTGAAAGGAAAAAAAAAATCTTCCTAACACCTCCAAATTTCTTTTTTTTTCTCTTTAAAAACCCAAGCAGATAAGGTCATTTATAATGTTTTAAATACTATGCAGATTCTTTACTTTTAAGTGACACATTCCAGTAAATAAAAAACGATATACATAGTCAACTAAAAAATATAAAAGAACTCAGTAAGTGCAGAAACAAAAGCTATTAAGAAAAAAAGGAAAACATTTGTTGACTATCTACCATGTGTTAAAAATTTTAATAATAATAAAAATAATAATTGTAATAACACCTAATACTTTCTGAGTACGTGCCATGTGCCCTGCATAGTGCTTGGAGGGGAGACTGACAGAGTATGGTTTTAGACACATTGAATGTGAGGCACTGTGGGACATTTGGATGGAGGGTGGACTGAGAAGGGAAACTTCTCTTTTTGTAACAACTGAGATGACCCACTGGGAATTTCATACAAAAATTCCAAATTTGAATTTCAGGAAGATACTTGGGAAATTCTACTCATGGACTCCTGGATTTGGTGCTGCTTTGCCAGCTTCCTATGCGGCCATTCTGATTGAAAGGAAAAGCAGGTAAGAGTGGACATGTCTAGATGGTTAATAGAACTGCTTACTACTAGGACACTTATTTGCTTATCACATAATTGTTGTCCGGGGATGAGAAATAGCTCCAGAATTATTCTTTTAAAATTTCTGCAGATAAATACTTGAAAATTAACTTTATAGTAACGTTATTTATATTTATTAAGTACATAAAATAAAGAAGTACAACATAAAGATTGATATTAGACAACAATAATATTCATTAGCTCCCACTTACTAAAATCATTACAGGGTTCTGTGATATGGCCTAATTAAAACTTGGCATGTGCAGATTCTAATGAAAGATCATTTCTATAGCTGTAATACAGTTTTTGCACCTAAGAAAGTTACTAATAGTTTTCTGTTACTGTTTAGGTCTGAACTTCATTTCAGTTTCATTGAATGACCTCTGTTAATACTAATTAGTTTTTTGCCAGCCTGAAATTTTCCATGTGAGTTAATGAGATTTTTAGAGACTCACAAACTTACATAAACTGTCCAGTCCGATAAATACTTCAAGTTAAAGCTTTGGTTTAGGGAATATTTTTCATTCCATGAATAATTATTGTTATTTTTGAGAAGTTTATTTACCTCTTTTCCAGAGAATCAAAATGGGATCATATATGGAAACTTCTTAGTTTATAAAAATGCTTATCAAAGTTGTTGACCTCCTTGTAAGAGTATGAGTAGATCTTACAGATAACCATATACTGACTTAAGCCATCTAAAGCCATTCTTCTATTTTTATTTTTAATCTTTTATTATTTTATTTAGTGTAGTACTGGGGATTGAACCCAGGCTTTGAGCATGTTAGGCAAGTGCTCTCTCACTGAGCTATATTCCAACCTATCTGAAGCCATTCTTCATGCACTTTTGTGAATGTAATGTTATGTAAAATTTTGTGATTCTTTGATTTATCATGATACTTTTGCATTATTAGAATTACTAAATTCAAAGAACTGATGGATGTTATTACTGCTGCAAAATCAATTCAGTAATTCCAGAAACATAATTTATTCCACTGAGAGGACAGTATAGCATGGCAGCTAATGTGCAGGTTGTATAGCTTAGTAGACTGGCTCAGCTGCTTACTGTGTGGCCTCTTTGGCTTATTCCTTACTAAGTAAATGGAAATAGAGATACTTTAGTTGTCAGATGATCAAGTTAATGTATGAAAAATACTTAGAACAGCACCTGGCACATTAAAGCATATGTGTTAAGTATTTTTTTTTTTTGCTCATAACTTAATAAGTTATTCTGGTGTTTGTAACATCCATCAATTTTAAAACGTGAATATTGATTTTGAAAATATGTGTTTAAAATATATGTTAATTATACATGAAACTAAATCAAGTATATCAGGATTGGCCTAACACTTGAATAAGATAACTTTTTATAGTTATGTGTCTACTTTTTGACAGAATACTTTTGTACCATCTGAAGTCAACATTATGGTATGTTTACTTTGTATGTGAGTGTGTGTGTGTGTGTGTGAGGCTTTGTGAGTGTGTGTGGGAGCATGTTGTAGACATCATGACACTTTACTCCTGAGTACATCAGCAGCACCTTCTCAAATAAGAGTCTTGTCCTATGTAGTTGCAATACCATTTCACACTTAAGACAATTAATGATCATTCCTTAATACTATCTAGCTCATACTGCCCTAAAGTGGCTCTTATAGCTGTCTCTTTGAACTAGAATATAGTCACCGTTTATGTGAATCATTTTATTTTCTTCATTTTCTTTTAACCTGATAGTCTTTTCACCTTTTTTTCTCCACAGCATTGATTTATTGAAGTGACTAGGCCTGTTGTCTTGTTGTCTGTAATATGTTTCTGGTTTCATTAAATTGTTTTCTCATGGAATTAATTGGTTCATTTATCTAGTGTATTTCTAGTAAACCTCAAGCTTGGTTTGAAGACTTGATTAGATTTAAACATTATTTTTAAAAATTTTATTTTGAATTAGCATACATGAGTGATATGAGAAGATTTCATTGTGATAATTCCATACATGTATACAGTGTACTTTGAACAAGTTCACTCTCTTCCTTATATTTCCATTCCCTTTCTCTGTCCTCCCTGCTTTTTCAAACAGTGTTTTGTGGGTTTCATTATGCTGTATATTTATGTATGTAGTGTACCTCAATCCTCTTCACCCCTCAGGGTCCTTTCCTTTTCTCCTCCTCCACTACTGACCTTTCCCCTAGATAGTCCCCCATATGCATTCATGTCCCATCATCATTATCATCATTGTTATTTTAAGTTTAAGTTCCACAAATGAGTGAGAACATGGCAATATTTGGCCTTTTGAACTTGTCTTAGCTCTCTCAGCATGATGATCGCCAGTTCTGTGCATTTTCCTGCAAATGACATAATTTTATCTTTCTTTATAGTTAAATAATACTCCATGGTATATATGTACCATATTTTCTTTATTCTTTCATCAGTTCTTGGGTACCTTAACTGTTTCCATAGTTTGGCTACTCTGAAAAGAGCTACAATAAGCCTGGACATGCAGGCCTCTCTCTTGTATATCGATTTACACTCCTTTGTATATATGCCCAAGAGTAGTATGGCAGGATCTTAAGGCATTTCTCTTTTTAGTTTTTTGATGAATCTCCATACTGATTTCCAGTATAGTTGCAGTAATTTACATTTACATCACTAGTGTATCAGGGCTCCTCTTCCCTGCTCCCCCATCCTAACTAGCATTTATTGTTTGTTTTCCTGATGATTGCCAATCTGACTGGAGTGAGATGGACTCTTAGTGTAGTTTTGATTTGCGTTTCCTTTATGACTAATGATTTGTCTTGAATTCTTGTTGTAGTTGCCACATCTGCCTTCTAATTTCTGCTTCCTCAGAGTGACTAATCTGTTTTACAGTTCTGGATTCATGTCATTTTGAGACCTTTGGAAAGTTATATAAATTGAATTATGGAATATGTAGCCTTTTACCATAGGCTTTTTCTTTCTTTCTTTCTTTTTTTTTAAAAAAACTAAGTATCCTGTTGTTGATATCCATCAATGTGTTACCAGTATTACTAGTTCATTCCTTCTTATTGCTGAGTAGTTATATGAATGTATCAATTTATTTATTTAAACATTCATCTTTTTTGGGACATATATGATATTTCTATTTTTGGGCTGTTTTATTCATGAGCATGGTATTCTGCTCCATTTATTTTGATCTTTTATCAGTTTTTATAATTTTCATAATTTACTAAATGTGTCTTCTGTGTTTTTTTTTTCAGTATAAGGGTTTAAACACAGGGCCTCATACTTGCTAGGCAAGTGCACTACCAATTGAGCCATACCCATATAGCCTCTTGTGTATGTTTTGTTAGGTTTACAATCTATCCTGTTAGTGTTTCATTTTCTTTTCTTTTTTAAATAGATTTTTTAGTTATTTAGCCTTTTTTTTTTATTCATTTATTCATATGTGCATACATTGTTTGGGTCATTTCTTCCCCGCTACCCCTGCCCACTCCCTCTCCCCCACACCCTCCTTGCTTCAAGGCAGTGTTTCACTTCCCGGGGACAATTGCAATGGTACTATTAATATTATTTTTGGTAACTTTACTGAGTTGTATTTCATGCCCAGGCAATTTGCCCTTTTTAAAAGTATGCAGTTTGTAGGTTGTATATTTACAAAGATGTTTAACCATCACCTAAGTCAATTCTACAGCATTTTCTTCACCTCCAAAAGAAACCCCTTTAGCTGTTACCCCCTAACCTCCTTCATCTAGCCACATGCCAATCCATTCCTAACCACTGGTCAATTTTATATCTATACGTATTTGCCTTTTCTGGACAGAATAGGCTTTTAAACAGAATCATACAACATGTGGTCATTGGTGATAGGCGTCTTTTACTTACCATAATGGTTTCAAGATTCACAGATATAATATGTGTCATTATTTTGTTACTTTTTATTATGAACTAACAAGCCATTATGTGGCTGTACCACATTTTATTTATCTGTTTGTCTATGGATGGAAATTGGAGTTGTTTCTACTTCTTGGTTGTGAATAGTGCTGCTGTGAACATTTGCATATACACTTTTGTGTGGACATAATGTTTCCATTTCTCTGGATTATGTACCTGGTTGTGGAATTGCTGGCTTATATAGTAATCAACGCTGTGAAACTTTTTGAAGGGCCAAACTATTTAGCAGCATATGAAGTGTCCAGTCTCTCCAGTTTCTGGCCAGCACTTGCTATTATATGAATTTCTGCTTATAGTCATCCTAGCAGTGTGAAGTGGTATCGTATTATGGCTTTGATACACATTTCCTAGGTGACTAATGATACTGAAGATCTTTCAGTGTTCTTTTTGGCCATTTGCATATCCTTTTTGGAGAAATGTCTTCTCAGATCTTGTGTTCATTTTTTAATTGGGCAATTTACCTTTTAATTTTTGAGCTGTAAGTGTTCTTTAGATATTCTAGATGTAATTCCACTGCCAGATATACAATTTGCAAATGTTTTCTCATGTTCGGAATCTTCCCACTTCCTTGATCATGTTCTGAGCCCAACAGTCATAGTTTGATGAGGTCCACTTTATCTTTTTAAAAAAATTTTCTGAGACAAAGGCCCATATAGGCTTTGAACTAGTGAAGTTTTTGGAGGCCTCCAGCTCCCAAGTACTGAGATTACAGTTGTGTGTCAACATGCCTGGCTCTATTTTTTTATTCTTTTGTTGATTGTGTTTTTGGTGTCATGTTTAAGAAATCATTACCAGCTGGGCACTGGTGTCTCATACCTATAATTCTAGCTACACAGGAGGCAGAGATCAGGCTGTTAGAAGCCAACCCTAGGCAAATAGTTCTTGAGACCCTAACTCATCACAAAACAGGGATTGATGGAGTGGCTCAAGTGGTAAGAGCGCCTGTTTAGGAAGTATGAGACTCTGCGTTAAAAAAAAAAACCCCAAAACTTTATAATTTTAGCTCTTACATGTAGGTCTTTCATCCATTTGGATTAATCATTT